TCAAGGCTAAGTTGAATGTTTCTCTTTATTTGTGTGTTTGAAATTTTTCAAAGCAGTAAGATTTTATGTAAAAAATTCTAAGAACTCTGCTATGTAAAACAGATAAATCCCGAGCTATTTTGGGCGAGAGAGAAGCAGGAGGCAGGATGCCAGGCCCTCTAGTGACTCTGAAGTCAACTCTGGGGCTCCATGGAGCGTTTAAAACACCACTGCTATAATCATGACCATCGCCATAATAACAGAGAGAACCTGCACAATTTGATGGATTCCTCCCTGCCCAACAGGCAGAAAGAAGACTGACCCTAAAATAGCAACAGATGTCTCTGAGTGGTGAGATACCAATGGATTTAAAAATTTTTTTTTAGTAACTGTATTTTGTCAAATTTCTTATAGAGAAAAGATGTTTTTTAATGTTCACAGAGTATTACAGACTCTACCACTGAACAACCCAAAAGGTTACTCCAAGGCTTCACGTTATTAGCCCCAGAGTACAACAGGATAATCAACAAGAAATCAGAACTCTTGGATGGTCGTTAGAAAACAGACAAAGGCAGTTAGTTGCAACAGTCATGTGTGACCTAAAGGAAACATGCCCTGAATAAAAAGAGCACATCTGTCAGGAGGGGCCATATCCATCAAATGCGCAGTCTTCTTTCTTATCCTTACCCCCCTGGATTGAAGACTGTAAGACTGGAATTCCTTGTTCTCGAATAGGGAACCAGGAGCAAGCAGTGAAAGAAATGCATTTTCATCATCCCCTCAACAGTAGGCAATCAGAAAGAGAGGTAACTTCACAAAACCCTGCAGGTAAATCAAAACTGCCTCCATCTTGAAGGATGAGGAAACTGAGGTTTGGGGACGTCAAGTCACTGGCCTCGTGTCACAGAGCTATTAAATAGCAGGCATGGGACTAGAACTGAAGTCTGTATGCACCACAACCAGGATTCTTTCTACCAAGCGATCTTCCTTCTCTAAAAAATACCCTCTTATGCTGGTCTCTACGATACGCTCCAGCACCAGTGTTCTCAAACCACTGTGGCTCACTGTACATACCGAAAGTAAGAAAAGAAACTAGAAAGGCAGCTGTCAAGAAGTTGTCCTACTGCCCAGCACTTTTCCACTGGAGCTGGGCAGAAGGCACTAAAGCCTGACTCACATGATCCTCGCTGCCATTCCAAGAAACCAGTCCTACCCTCTAAAAAACAAAACAAAAAACAAAAAACAAAAACAAAAAAAAACAAGCTGAGAGCTTGCAGATGGCATTCCCAAGAAAAGTTGTCGATCCACTGGACTGAACCTCTACATTCGGGTACGGTAGCATTAAGCTTTTAACACTAAAAATGAAGAAGAATTCATTTCAACCTAAAAATGGCAGTTGCCAAGTTAATGTCACTACAGCATGGTGACAAAAATCACTGGTTTTGCAGTTACCCAGATCTCGGTTCATTACCCAGTTCCTGCCACTTAAATAAATGTGTAACCTTAGGCAGGTCAGTTCAACTTCATATACAAAAAAAGGCATGATGGTAACTTCTCCATAAAGGATGAAATGAGGTAACTTGGTGCCTGGAGCCCAACATATAGGAGGTAGAAAATAAACGATAAATCCTATTAACACTGGTCTTACTCTTATGCCGCAGGAGTTTTGGAGTCTTAGCAAATCCTCTACGTGGTCTGAACTCTAGATTATCTGATGTAACAATCGACTGGTTGAATCTAGATTTCTGAACCAACTGAAATATTATTCAGCTCAACTTGGTTCACAGACATCCAGATACTCCAGCTGCACTATTCTAAAAAATGTTGAGGGTTATCCTAGTTTAAACTGGTTCATATTTTTCTAAAAGCACATACAGGTTTTGCTAACTTCAGAGCTC